CTCCTCCTCCCCGCCTTTCCCGTCAGGGGACGGGACGGGACGGGACGGGACGCGTGGCTGCGGACGTGCCCGAGCCCACGGGGAGCCCACTGACCTGAGGCGGTGCGGGGCCTCCACGCCGCCATGTTGGCTGCTGTTGACAGCGGAGCCGGGCCCGGGGCCGCCTCGCTCCGCCCCTAAACGGCCGCTCTGCCCTGCTAACCGCCGCGCCGCTCTATGGTCTCCCCCAGCCCCGGCACCGCCCCCTTTGCGGCCGCGAGGAGGCAGCGCGCATGCGCCCGCTACCCTCCCCCAGCGGGAGCCCTCGGGGACTCTCCCCGAGGCGGCGGGTGACGTCACGGGTCCCCCGGCGCCGCGGAGGATTGTGGGGGCTGTAGTTCCGGGGGGGAGAGGGAGGCGGCGGCCATTTGGGCGGGGGGCGGCCCACCACTGCCCTCCCTCACGGCGGGGCCGGCGCTCTGGGGCTCGGTTCCTCTGCTGTCAGCGCCTCAGCGCGGGGAGAACGCGGGGGTCCGTCCCCTCTGCCCTGGAAGGCTGGAGGCTGCAGGCCCGGGGCGCGCCTCTCCCACTGAGGTGGGGGCCCAGAGGGTCGGCAGGTTGGGGCTTCTGGGCTGTTCACTGGGAGACTTACCCCGGTTACAGGTGTGAGGTCCTCAAAAAGTCTCAGAATAAGTCTTGCTGTGGGTGAGAAGTGAAGGGGTGCCAGCAGTCATGGCCGGACAAGGGGCCGCAGGTACGGTGGAAAACGCGTGTTGCGTTGCTGTGGGCATTAAGTGTCCCATAAAACTTGATAACCAGAAAGGGAAACTGAATGCAAGGCCCCTCAAAGAACAAAGGTTAAAGTCAATGTGAGCCATGAAACATTTAAAAAAATGAAATTTGGAATCGCGTGACCCCACTTTACTCCCTCCTTTGATGCAACGGTGGGGGCTGTCGGTGGTGGTTTGGTGGGCAAAAAGCCACACAATTGTATTCTCCTGCTTTTATTTTGGTTTTATGCTGTGCAGCTCCATGCAACCTTTATAGCCGTAACATGGAGGTAGTTGACACAGTAGCTTCAGGAATGTTACGGCAAGATCAACATCAAGAAAGCAAGAGAGTTCAATAGTTATAAATAATAAAAGAAAATTGGAAACGGATTATTTAAAAATGTTTAGTCTTTCATTTGGACTCTCGTGCTGCCAATATACAAGACAGGCAATTATAATTAAAAAAACCCCACTTTTTCCCATGTCATAAAGATATTTTCATAGAGTGAGATAAATGCTTAGTTTGCATGTTGCAAGATACAAGATTCTAATTAACCCTTTAATTACACCAGCCTTAACAGACATGCAAAAAAAAAAAGAAAAACATGTTCTACATGAAGGTACTCCTTAAATCAGCTCTGAGATTGAAGTTAGCGTATAAAACTTGACGTTAGCGTATAAAGTAGTGGTTTGCTTATTAACTGATTTTTATTACAAACATTTGCCATCATGATAAGCAGGTGATATCATGCCGGACAGAACTAGGTAATATATTGGTTTCCTTAAGATTTTCACTAAATCTGTTTCTGTATGGAACACAAATTTGTCTCTTAGTTTGTTTTGACAAACACCTAACATCTTTGGACTTTTTGTGCTTAAGCATGATTATTTTTTTTTTATTCTTTTCCCAGTCACGAAAATCTTGTTGACTTTTATTGCTAAACGAATTGCAATCTTTTCTGTAACACTAGTAGCTTGTCAAAAAAAACAAAATAAAAAGCCCCGCGGTCCTTATAATTAACAGTAGAAGGAAGCATGCTAACAAAACTAAAGAAGCAGCTTTCCTGGCTTCCTTCACGATGCCAAGACTAGACAAAAGGCAACCCAGCTAACTCATCCAGTGTATGCCTACACGGTACTGGTTGCTGTAGCGGATGGTCTCCTGGCCAGAAGAACAGGGCAGGTGCTTTGACTAACGCAGGCAGACCTGTTGGCTGTTTTCAGTTTCACAACTGTTGATGCAGTTGCAAACCCTACAGCAGTTTGTATGGCTGGCTTTCAGCAGCAATATTTCTATCTGTCGGGGAGATCCCAGAAGATAATTTTTTACTACTGTTTACTCTTCTGGCTGAGTGCATCCCTGTGGAGCTCCTGCAACCTTTCGCTTCTTATATTCATTCTGTAGCCGACGCTGTAGAGAGATAATAGAAAGGATTTTCAGGATGGTCATTATAGACACCTTGTTTCGTATCATCTCAGTCAGTGCTTTGAAATGTCTTGTCCTGTGCCTGACAGAGACAGTCTTAAGTCTGTGCAAGATTTCCAAGTCAGATGCCAATAAGGTAAGGGAGGCAACTAGGAAGTTGTGCTTGGATTGTGTGAGCCTGCTGGCTGAGATATTTTTCTACTTTCTGTTGCTCAAATTCTTAATATTTGGTTTCACTATTTTTAACTGATCATGCAGCAGCACTTCTCAGATGACTTTCTTCATGTCTATACAAACATTTATATTAATTTCCCTTCAGAATGGAGAGATTTATATGATCAACACTTTTTAAAGATTAATATTAGAAACTGCAACTTCTGTTTGCATCAACTCGGAGATTGAAACTGGAAAGCAGTGGTGTGCTGGTTGAATGGAACTTGTCTTAAATACTTAGGTGTGCATTGACAAAATGCTGGGTGCTGAATTTGGTCTGAAGTTTCAGTGTTGTCTTGTGACCTATCTGTTAGGCTGTGTCTGCATCTCACATGCAATTAGCAGTCCAACTACTACTCCAAACTTAATGCCACTTCTTGAGGTCTGTCTGATCTTGGGGCTCACTCTCTTCATTGGTGCAAATGGCCACGTCTGCACCCTTCTCTTGGCCATACCTTATGGTGCTGTACTCTCAGGATACCCACACATCTCATCAAATGCATTCACAAGCGCAGTCCACAAGCCTTTGCAGCCTTTTCGGCAAGACCGTCCTTGCATGTGTTTTGGATCCCACCTGGGTGTCCCACACGAATACACCAGGCAGCCCTGCCTCCTTTTGCACCCCTCTTGCCAAGTCAGGGCAGCATGACAAGCCAAAAGGAAGGAGTTTGGGAAAGAGCCAGAGAAAGACCTTTCGGCAGGTTGCGGGACTCCGGTATCTGTCTTCTGGGATCAGGATGCACTCGTTTCCTAACACAAGACATTTCCCAATAGGCTACCAGTTGTGGGGGGTGCAGTAGGTCTCTGGCAACCACGGCCATGGTGAGTAGTTCAGCCAGGTCCTCAGCTGCTCCTGGGTGGCTGCTGAGCGTGTCTTACAGCTGCACGGAGTCTGTGGGCACTGCCTGTGGGATTGGCTTGATGCCAGCACAGAAAACACGGTCAGGATTGGTCTTGCTTCATGCAAGCTTCACAACCTGTGCAGAGACAGCAAGCCTAATGGCTCCAGAGACCAAGAGAATATCTTGGAGAGCTTTTGACCAGCCCCATCATGATGTATAAAATCCCCCAACCCCATTCAAATTAAACGCACACAGGTGCCTTCTTCAAGCTATCTACTGGGACAAATTTTTCAAGGAAAGGTAGGGAATTTAAACTCAGGCCACGTTTTGGCTTCACCTTTAAAGGCTCTTTAGAAACAAAAAGTTTCCCTATAGCATCAGAAGGACTGTACAGAAAAGTTGCTCTCTTTGCTCTGTAAGCCCTGGCTACAAGTTCAGACTGTGCATCCACCATCTGACCTGCGACAAGCAAGTTCACTACTGTCGTGGTGTAACCCCAGCCAGCAACTAAGCACCGTGCAGCTGCTCACTCACTCCCTTACCCCACAGTGGGATGGGGGAATCAGGAAAAAAAAGTAAAACTCGTAGGCTGAGGTAAGAGCAGTTTAATAGAACAGAAAGGAAGAAAATAATAATGATGACAATAACAATATTAAAATGACAACAATAATAATAAAAGGATTGGAATAGACAAGTGATGCACAATGCAGTTGCTCAGTACCTGCCGACCAATGTCCAGTTAGTTCCCAAGCGGCAATTCGTCCCAGCCCCACTCCCCCCAGTTTATATACTGGACATGATGTCACACGGTATGGAATACCCCTTTGGCCAGTTTGGGTCAGGTGTCCTGGCTGTGTCCCCTCCAAACTTCTTGTGCCCCTCCAGCCTTCTTGCTGGCTGGGCATGAGAAGCTGAAAAATCCTTGACTTAGTCTAAACACTGCTTAGCAATAACTGAAAATATCAGTGTTATCAACATTCTTCTCATACTGAATCCAAAACATAGCACTATCCCAGCTACTGGGAAGAAAATTAACTCTATCCCAGCTGAAACCAGGACAACTACCATGGCTTGCCAGAGAACATACACGGCATACTTACCTTGCAAATACTGAAAAAACCCTCAATAAGCAACCTAAAAACCAAAAAGCAGAGGAGGGCCACCTAACCTTCAGACACCTGCGTGACTCCAGTCCTAACAGCTCCTTTGTGCTGCTGACCAGACTTCCAAGCTGGAAGGACACGCACACTTGAATTTTTAACAATCTTGCGTGGTTAATTATAAAAACTGAAGGCAACACGCACTGCAGGCCATCTTCATGAGGCCATATATGTGAGTGAAACATATTCTCAGCAGATTTAGCCTAGTAAACACAGTTTGAATAACCTGGCAATAAACATATTAGGAGGAGTGGATGATTCTTTTTAAAAAACTGGATGGGACATGCTGTTATTCAAAGCTCAATAGGCTGGCAAATGGCAGAGAAGTGTCATCTGAGATATGGAAAGGGATTTGTGTTCTCAGTCCGTCGAGGTCGTGGGCAAGGGCTGTTGTGGGAAGGCAGCAGACTCTGACTCCTGGAGGTTACCGCCCTTCTGCAAGAGCCACCAGATTGTTTTTGGAGCAGGAATGAAAGCTTGCACCAGGAGTTATCCCAGCTCTTTCTTGCCTGCCTGGCAGAGAGGAGCCATAATCCGAACTGTGATGCACTAGGAAGATGTTAAAATGAAGATCCTCCACCCTGTAGTTATTATGCTAAGAAATACATAGCCTTCTGTCCTGTGCCATCTCCACAAGAGAATTTTGATGGCTTGCTTGTATTGGTTATCTTCAACTTTTGTCACTTTCCTTACCTTTGTAAAATGTTACTTAGTTATGAGAATTTCCTTCTGTTTTGTGATCACCATAGAAATTCTGCTTTTCAATTTTGTAGTCCTGTAATTTTATAACACTTTCAT